CTGCGCCCTAAATCCAAAGCTTAATCCCAACGCGCATCTCCTCCCCGAACAGGGGCGGTCGTCTCGTACTACAACTTCTGGATTGGCGTGGAGGACCCGCAATCCAGAACCCGAAAACAACACCTCAAAGCCCCACTTCCCGAAATCCCTAGAACCCTAACCACAGCACCTGGGTCTTAAGGGCTTGGGTAGGTTCGACTTGCAAGGGACCGCAAAGATTGTGTTTGTTACAGGGGTTCCAGACGCAATTGAAGAGGAAGCTGGCAATATGTCTGAACCTGCAACTCAAGGGTCCCTAAATCTCTCTAAACCCTAAACCCTAAACCCTAAACCCTAAACCCTAAACCCTAAACCCTAAACCCTAAACCCTAAACCCTAAACCCTAAACCCTAAACCCTAAACCCTAAACCCTAGCCCTAAAGCCCTGCAATCCTAAAACGCTTTTAAGCCCTAAGCCCTTAAAACCCCGAAAGGCCTCAAACCCTACAAGCCTTCCGCCCTAAAGCCCTACAACCCTAACCTCTAACCCCCCCCCAAAAAAAAACACAACGGGTCGGCTTTTGTTAGCAGGGGACGACAAGTCCTACATCAGACAGCAAATACTTTTCGGGAAATTAGCAAGGCCACCTTCAGGCTGACAAGACATGTGGCCATCTGAGTGCCATGAGACACGGTGCCTGGCAACTCAACTGGGTTTTGGAGTACTAGACTTTAATACTTTTTGCTGGTTCTGGGTTCCTATTGCAGCTACTTATACCCAAAAAGTATATGCTTTTGTTCCAGGGTCTACTCCAAAGCAGGGTCAATGATTCTCAAAGAATGATGAAGGAAGTGCAAAGCTACAAAGCTCGCTTCTATGCTGGGAGTCATGATTGGAGCGACTTGAATATCCACCGCAGCCCTGAACTGCAGAAGATACTATGCGAGGTAATCAGCGCTCGTGTGGCTAAAGACACCCAGTCTGCGACTACGCTTGAGCTGCACATGCGAACCTGCAGGGTTGAGTGTCAAGCTCTGCTCAATCAGTTCTTGCATTTTGGAGAAGAAGCTTACAAAGTTGAGCAAGGCGAATCTTCAGAGAGATAAGAGCAACCGACTTGTTGAACAGCCTCTTGAACAAGACCTTCTTTCGCATGATCCTGCCACTAGCGCGTGAGCTTGGTCTGCCGATTGATGAGTTGTTGCTGAAGGGTTTGGGGTCATACCTACAAATCCTTCTCATTGTTCTTATGTGGCTGCAGCTGGGTTTAGGGTTTAGCTTACACCCTGAACCTTAAGCCCGAAGCCCGTTGGAGTTAGGGGTTTCTAGGTTTTCTGGTCGCCAAGTCCCCAAGTCCAGGGGGTTCAGGGGTTCGAACCAGGAGCCAGTTCACCCCAAGCTGTACCGATGGAACAAGAACTACATTGGAGGCCGCCTGAAAGGGGCTGGGGCTCAGGGCTCAGGGAGGGTTTAGGGGCTCAGGGGTTTGTAGGGGTTTTGGGGTGTTGCTGGGATAGTTGAACCGAAAACCCTAAACCGTAATCGCAACAAAAATACTCCCCAACCCTGAACACCCGCACCGAACCACCTAAATCCACAACCATTCGCTTGATGCCTGTGTCCAGAAGCTCTTTTACACGGAGGGCGTTTTTTTAGACGTGGCTTGAAAATACGAACGTGGAGGGTTTGTTGGGCGCTTTCTGAAAAAAATCTTCACAGACGTAAGCTGGAGCCGCCGGATTGCCGAAGCGCTGATGTGATTTGCTTCTTGATTCGTGTGTGGGCCCCTATAAACCCTAAACCCCAAACCCCAAACCCTAAGCAAAAAACCCTAAACCTTAAACCCTAAAGCCCTAAACCCTAAACCCTAAGCCCTAAACCCCAAACCCCAAACAGTAAACAGTAAACCCTAAAGCTTAAACCCTAAAGCCCTAAACCCTACAAGCCCTGAGCCCTTACGGGGTGAGAGGCTTGGTCTTCCGCCCCTCCCTGGCCCTCAACGCCACCAACCCCTTCGCGTTGAAGGAAGAGCGCCTGACGCCTGCCTTAGGCCTTAGGGCTGTTGAGGGTTCAGGGTTTAGGGTTTAGGGTTTAGGGTTTAGGGTTTAGGGTTTGGAGTTTAGGGTTTAGGGTTTAGGGTTTAGGGTTTGGAGTTTAGGGTTTAGGGTTTAGTGGGCTTCAGTGGTTTCAGGTCTTGTGGTTGCAGGGTTTAGGTTTCAGGGATTTAGGGTTTCAGGGTGTATGTAGGGCTTCTTAATGTAGGGTTCGGGCTTTCAGAGTTTAGAGGTCAGGGTTCAGGCGAAGTTTACGGCATGGGGGCTGCCGGGCTTCAGGTTTTTGCGGGGGTGCGGGCTCCGGGGTGCTGAGGATTCAGGCTTTGGGATGTAAGACCCTAAGCCCTAAACCCTAACCCCTTAACCCCTTAACCCCTTAACCCCTTAACCCCTTAACCCCTTAACCCCTTAACCCCTTAACCCCTTAACCCCTTAACCCCCTAACCCCCCTAACCCCCTAAACCCTAAACCCTAAACCCTTAGCCCTAAACCCTAAACCCTAAACCCTAAACCCTAAACCCTAAACCCTAAACCCTAAACCCTGAACCCTAAACCCTTAACCCTAAACCCTAAACCCACCCAGGGTTTAGGGTTTACCCCCTCCAACCCCCGAAAGAGCAACCTCTGAGTCCTGCACATTGGAGGTTCATGGTACTTATTAAGCAGTTTAGGGTTTAGGGTTTAGGGTTTAGGGTTTAGGGTTTAGGGTTTAGGGGTACTTATAACCCACTTATAAGCCGCTTGTGTGCCCTAATATGGTTGTAAGTCCAGTGATAAGTACAGCGATAGTTGGTTAACGAGTACCATGAACCTCCAAGTAAGGATGCGCGTCTATGTGCCGAGCATGCGGATGGCAGGCGAGGTGTGGGGCTTATAGGGTGAGGGTTTAAGGTTTAGGGTTTAGGAATTGGGGTTTAGGATTTAGGGATTAGGGCATATTAGGGCGGAGACGCCAAGGCGTCTCGTAAGAATCCGGTGAGGAAGGGACGGGTGTGCAAAGGGGCTTTGTTTTGGTAGGGGGGCCTTTTGGGATTCAACTCCCCGTTCTCAGGTCCCTAGGACTCACCTAGGTAGGTATTATTTCGTAAGTTTAGGAAAACCTTGGCCGCCCTCGTTACAGCCCTGAAGTACCCGAAAATACTGTCAGAAGCATGGACGCTCCTATCTAACGCTAACCCCCGCTAAACTCCTGAACCCTACTTGGAGGATCGGGGGACGTAATAAGTGGCCGTTAAGTAGGGTTGCTAAGTAGGTGATCTATCCCCAGCCAAGGTCCTTTTCAGGGTACTTACAACTCTACGTTGTACCTACCCACTAAGTCACTTCAAACCCTAAACCTCAAACCCCAAACCCTAAACCCCAAACCCTAAACCCTAAACCCTAACCCTAAACAATAAACCCTAAACCCTATTCGCGCAAGGCTTCCGGAACGTCGTGATCAGTGCTCGGCCCTCTTTGGCGAAGTGGACGGACAGCCTGGGAGGCCGTTTAGGGTTTGGGGTTTGGAGTTTAGGGTTTAGGGTTTGGGGGTTAGGGCTTAGGGTTAAGGGTTTGGGGTTTAGGGTTTGGGGTTTGGGGCTTAGGGGTTAAGCGAGGGAGGGTTTATTGCTGCAGACGTTCATGGGCTCTGATGTTTTCTGCGTTTGGTGATCCTTCAAAGAAAGAGAGCATACGCCCTGAAACCGCTTTTTCCCTTTATGAACCCCACAAACCCTAATTAAACCCTAAAACCCTAGTTAAACCCTGAAACCCTGAAATTCGAATTAAACCCTGAAACCCTGAAACTCTAATTAAACCCCCAAAGCCTAGACATTGTAGCCCCTTGAACCCCTAAACCGGCTCGGCTTGCTTGAAAAACACGCCGCGAGGCCGGCGTGGAGCGCCTTGCGAGGACATTTCCGGGGTTTGAGGTTTGCGGTTTGGGGTTTGGGGTTTGGGGTTTGGGGTTTGAGGTTTGAGGGGTTTGGGGTAGTTTGGATTGATTTTCGTCGTGCGTTTGAGTGTTTTTTTGGTGTTTTGCCTGCGGTTTTCGCGGGCCTTTTGGGGCTCTGGGACACTTCGCAGGACTGGTTCATGCAAATCTTTCCTCGCCCAAAGCTTTGCAGCTATTGATGTAGTCTTATATAATGCAGTCATAATTTCAATATTATATAATATATATATACACATATATATATATATATGTATATTTATACAAAATAGCTCAACCCTAGGCACCCCGAGCACCCTAGGCACCCCAAACACTATATACACCCTATGTCAGGACACATTCTACTTCGCGGCACGGGCTCCCAGAAGAGACATAGAGAGAGAGAGAGAGAGAGAGAGAGAGAGAGCGAGACAGAGAGGCAGAGAGCGAGAGAGAGAGAGCGAGCGAGAGCGAGAGAGAGAGAGAGAGAGAGAGAGAGATAGAGTGGCGGGGGCATCGAGGGAAGGAGACTGTTTTGGTGCCTAATTCGTAGTTTTAGGTTTAGGGAAGGAAAGTTGACATTGGAAGCACTGCACCTCAAGGGACGGCCCACCTTCGTGCAGGCCTGTGGCATTTTTATTGAAGGTCAGACGTTTGGGGGAGGGATCTTAGTAGAGGGCGGTAGGCAGTAGGGCTTCGGGTTTAGGGCACAAATAAATACCCAAAGAAAAGGACTCGATTTCGGATTCTTCGACTTCATAGCCTATACTTAACATCCACTTTGCTACGGTGCCCCGATCCTCCAACCCTAAAACCCTGAACCCTAAACCCTCAACCCTAAACCCGATTCGAAAGGGCGATGTTGAGGCTCCTTGCAACAGAGCTGAGACCAGGCGTCTCCTGGTTGTTGCACTGCTTGATCGTTTTTCATCCAAGCCCTAAGCCCTAAGCCCCCTAAACCCTAAGCCCCAACCCTAAACCCTAAACCCTAAACCCGAAACCCCCAGACCCCAATTCCAAAATCCAGGAACCCCATTCCCAAAACCCCTCAACCCAGGACCTGACTCTCATCCCAGAGACGCTTCAGCGAGGGGCCGGGGGCCCCAAAAGCTTGACTTGGGGGTTAGGGTTTAGGGGTTAGGGGTTTAGGGTTTCGTAGAGGCATCTTTATTAGGGCACAGGTAAGGTATGTGAGAGGGGGTGGGGTGTGTTTGGGTTTTGCGGCGTTATAGTCTAGCATTTTTTGGGGTTCAGGTTCTGGGTTCAGGGTTTCAGGTTGGGGGTTTAGGCTTTGTTTTGGGGCTTTGAGGTGTCAGGTTTGGAGTGAGCGGAGGTTCCCAGTTTCTGCTCTTTTTGGGGATTCCAGCATGACCCAGAGCCTCGTATATAGGTACACCAAAAAGGCCCATAACTTGGAGAATCCTAAGCCCTAAGCCCTGAGGCAACTGATCGCAGTGGCACTTGCCGAATCTCAAACCCTTAACCCCAATTCGCATGACAGAGGGTGCCCTATACTAAACCCTAAACCTTAAACCCTGAACCCTCAACCCTACAGCCTAAACCTGTCCGGGCCAGCGCCAAGTTCCAAAATTGCATGGGCTTTTCCTTTTACGAGCATGACCCTTAAGATACCCCAAAATGCCAGAATTATATCTGGGTTTTGGAGTACTATACTTTATTTTTTTGGTTCAGGGTTGGTATGAAAAGCTACTTAAACCCCAAAAGTATATTTTCCATGGTCTACTCCAAAGTAGGGTTATTATCGGAATCACCAAAAGGGTACCCCCGTTCGTTTTCGGAACCCCCGTATAGCCGCCCTTACCCCTGCACCCTGCACCCTAAGGGCGTCATGGCTGGATTAGACTTTCAGGGCTGATCAGGAGCCCTAAAGCCTAAACCCTAAGCTGCAAACCACAAACCCTAAAACCCTAACCCAGGGTCTCGGTAACTGGAGCCACCGGTGGGGTTTCGTTAAGGGCTTTTTCAGCTGTATTGCAGGCCCGGGCCCTAAGCCCCATAAACCCTACATGAAACCTATAAACCCTCTATACCCCGAAGCCATATCAACCCTAAGCCCTAAACCCTAAACCCAAACCCTAGCAAATCCGACGTAGGCACTGGGCAACGAGTGGGAGCATGCCAGCACGTCCAGCAGCAAGGGGCAGACCGTGGCTGAGGCAAGAGTCTGGCAGGTTTAGGGTTTAGGCTTGGTAGCCCAGTGGTACCCCTTACCTTTTTTTGGTTCTGGGTTCCCTTATAAAAGTAACCAAGTTTAAAAAGGGTACCCTTATTCTAGATGGTTGTTACTGGGCTACCAAGTAGGGCTTAGGATTTCGTGTTTATGGTTTAGGGGCTTAGGGTTTAGGGCTTAGGATGTAGTGTTTATGGTTTAGGGGTTTAGGTTTTGGGCTTAGGATGCATTGTTTATGGTTTAGGGGTTTAGGGCGCAGGGCTTGGGATTTCGTGTTTATGGTGCAGGGCTTGGGGTGTATGGGTAACCTTCAGCTTCTTGGGGCTTACATGTAATCCCCTTGGCATGCAAAGGTTCTCCTGCACAACTGAGACCCCTAACCCATAAACCTTCAACCCTAAACCCTACACCCCCTAAACCCCTAAAGTAGAACTAGGGTTTAGGATTTAGGATTGAGGAATTAGGGTTTTGGGTTTCGGGGTTCTGGTCGTTATGGCCTTTAAAGGAGGTTGGAGGTCTTCCTGTGGGGCTCAGGGCACTTCGAGCTTTCGAAGCTTTAGGGTTCAGGGTTTGGCGTTGAGGGTTTAGGGTTTCGGGTTTAGGGTTTAGGGTTTAGGGTTTAGGGTGAGGGTTGAGGGTTTAGGGTCGTCCTGAACCCCCAGTCTTGCACGCTCAATCCTGAATCCCTCAGTCCCCAACAAAAAGTCGGCACCCTCTTGAGCAGGCGGATGTCAATCTTGTCACAAGGACACTCGGGGCCGACTGGGTGCTCGACGTCGTCGTCACCAACTACACGTCAAGCACCCCCAAAACCCTAAGGTTAGGGTTAAGGGTTAAGGGTTAAGGGTTTAGGGTTTAGGGTTTAGGGTTTAGGGTTTAGGGTTTAGGGTTTGCCCTGAACCCAGACCCCTGAACCCTAGATTCCAGTTTAAAAGAACAGCCTTCAAAGAATGCCATCCTCACATTGCCTCGAAGGACTTAGGTTGAAGTTCTGTGGCTGAAGGCATAGTAGTCCGAATAGATCCTGAATCCTCCCTGTTTAGGTTTGAGTTAGTTTAGGGCCCAAGATTTAGGGTTCATGGTGGTACCCCTTGTGTTGTTTAGTTTAGGGTTTTAGGGGCCTGAAACCCTATACTCCGGATGATGGAAGGCCAACACTACTTCAGTGAGGCAGGGGCTCCATCAGAGTTGAGGGTCCTAGCAGGGCTTAGGGGTTTAAATCACCCTAATCCCTAAACCCCAAGGCTCTAAACGCTAAGCCCGATACCTCGAAACCCAATCATAACCCGAACCGCAGTACCCTGCTAGGCCCTAGAACCTAAGCCCCTTCAACCTACCCAAACCTTAAGGTTCAGGCTTCAATCTTACCGGCTCAGGGTTCAGGGTTTCGGGTTCAAGGATCCCGAACCCTTGGGCGTTAAGGGTTTTTTTTGGGGGTTGCGGCTGCCGTTGCGTTGTACGGCGTATTGGATTGAAGTGGATCGTAGGGTTTTTTGCATATAAGGTCTAGGGTTGGGGCTTCACACATATACATGTCAGGGCTTTATACGGCTTACGGCCTTTATGGGGTTTTGTAAGGGTCTATGGGGTTTCAGCCCTTAACTGCGAACCCTGAACCTTAAACCCTCAGATTCATGGTTTCAGGGGTGTTCAGGGCTCAGGGGGTTTAGAGTTTCGGGCTTCGGGATAAACCCTACACCCTCAAGCCCTATAGGGCTCCAACCACACAGTTTGAGGTTTAGGATTTGGGGGGGGGGGGGGGGGGGGTAGGGTTTAGGTAGGGATTACGGGGGATGGAGTTTCGTCTTTTGGACTGGAGTTTGGCCCTTCTGCCCTTGTCAAGTTCAGTTCTCAGAACATTTGAGGCGGCACGGTCATGATGTGGCGGTCAAGCCCAAACCCCAAACCCTAAACTCCTAAACCTTCAGCGTCGCTGTGGCACAGTCATCCGGAGGGGCACCCTAAACCATAACGGTTGAGGGAGTAGGGTTTTTGGTTAAGGGATTAGGGTTTAAGGTCGAGGGACTAGGATCTAGCGTTTAGGGTTAAGGGATTAGGGAGAGGGGCTTATGGGGTCCTTAGTCCTATTACCGTACATGTTTTGAGAAGCTTTATGTAAAAGTAGTCCGAAGTCCCTAGACCCTAAACCCTAGACCTAAAAGTAGCCCAAAATGTGGGGTCCCATACACTGGTCCCTCCTGCAGTCCCTGAGACGTAAACCCTAAACCCTCAACAGAAGGGGTCTCTCAGGGCATTCAGGGTTTGGGGTGTAGGGTTTCTATAGTTTGGGGTTTAGGGTGTAACCCTAAGCCCCAAACCCCGAACTCCTAAAAGGTACAATCTGAAACTGGACATGCCAGTGCCCTCACAGCTGGTGGCGGTCAGCCGCTTCTCGAACGACATCGTGCCGCTCGACAGTCGGGTTTGGGGTTTCGGGTTCGCATCAGATCCGAGACCCCTAAACTTCAAAATTCAAAAACTCCCAGCCCTAACCTCCGACAACAAACCCGAACCCCCCCCCCCCCCCCCCCCCCCCCCCCCCCACAAACGCCAGACCCAAAGCCCTAAACCCTAGACCCATCCTGCCTTTTGGGGTTTAGGGTTTAGGGTTTAGGGTTTAGGGTTTAGGGTTTAGGGTTTAGGGTTCCTTAGCTATGTGACCCTTGCCCAAAAGAGCCATTTTTAGATGAACTCCCTCGATCGGACCACCGACAATATTGAAGGGTTAGGCTACTCCGGACCATAAACTTTAAAGCCTCAAAACCACAAAACGAACCCTGCTACAACCTTAAAACCAGGAATATATCCGTTTAGGGTTTAGGGTTTAGGGTTTAGGGTTTAGGGTTTAGGGCTGAACCCTGTCGAGTTCCTGACAGCTCAAGGACGGAGACCCTCCGGTGGCTAAGCAAGCTGGCTTCAGCGACGGCGCTGTTCAAGCTGGTGGCGGTGCTCTTCCCCGTGATTGAGCGCGCCTGGGTGGGGTTTAGGGTTTAGGGTTTAGGGTTTAGGGTTTAGGGTTTAGGGCTTAGGGCTTAGGGCTTAGGGCTTAGGGCTTAGGGTTTAGGGTTTAGGGTTGAGACTTCGAAGGACGTAGGGTGCTTAGGGTTTAGGACGTTTTTGAAAGCTCAGGTGGTTTTCCTAGACCGTAAATCTTAGAGCCTAATTCTGCCTTGCTGACTGACGAACAGAACACCTAAGCCCTAAACACCTAAACCCCGAGCCCCTAAAACCCGTATCACCTAAACCCCAAACCTGTCACCTAAACCCTAAATCCTAAACCCAACATTCCTAATCACTTAAACCCAAAACACCTAAGTCCTAAACCGCAAACGTGGGCAGGAGCCAACTTGTTCCGGAAGTTGAACAGGCATTTGTAAGGATTTTTAGGGGTGTAGGGTTTACGTAGGGTTAACCCTAGCCCCTAGCCCCTATAGCCTATAGCCCCTAACCTCTAAACCCTAAACCCGAAACCCTAAACCCACCCTGTCAGCCGTTAGACCTTGTGCGCCCTCCCATTCGAGCCTGGCATCCGAAGCCTGCCCCAGAAGGGTTTAGGTTTAGGGTCTTAGGCCGCGTGGGTTCAGGGTTTAGGGTTTAGGGTTTAGGGTTTAGGGTTTAGGGTTTAGGGTTTTTGTCGGTTTAAGGTTTTTTTCGGTTTAGGGTTCTTTTTCGGTTTAGGCTTTAGGGGGGGACCCGAAACAGAGCCCATGTTGGGCTCTGGACGGGCTCTTGAGCGGACTTGCTGGAAAGACTGACCTGGACCGTGCTTGAATTCACCAAACCCTAAACCCTCAACCCTAAACTCTATTCTTAAACCCCAAACCTTAAACCCTAAACCGTTTGGTATGCAAGGGGCCGGCCAGGGTTTGAGGTTTAGGGGTTGGGGTGTGGAATTGACCACACAAGTTCAGAAATTCCTCAGCTGCCCTAAGACACCTCTGCTGGGTAGCCCCGCGGTGCCCTTTCCGTTGTTGTTGGTTCAAGGTTCCCTTATAAAGTAACCGACCCCATACAAGGGTTAACCCTAAACACTTAACCCTAAGCCCTGATTATAGGAAGGTTACTGGGCTACCAAGTCTGCGTGTTTTTTCGAGATTCCTTGCTCGTTGCTTCTGTTTGGGACCACTCCTCGATGCTACCTGTGCAGCTTAGGATACTTGACTTGTAGAAACCCGAAGCCCGAAACCCTAAACCCTAAACGCTAAACCCTAAACCCTAGGATACTTGACTTGTAGAAACCCGAAGCCCGAAGCCCGAAACCCTAAACCCTAAACGCTAAACCCTAAACCCTAAACCCTAAACGACCTTCACCCCACACCCAACATCTTCCCAGCTGAGGCAATAGCTACCGCTTCGCGTTGCACGTGCCGCTTTTGGGGCTAGGCTCCTTGGCTGGATCCATGCGTTTTGGGTTTGAGGTTCCTCGGCTTTAGCCCTAAACCCCCCTTAAACCCTAAACCTCCTCAACCCTGCACCCGAAACCCTTTACCCTACACTGACCTTCAACCCGAAGCCCAAACCTCGGACAGGCGTCGTCTTCTCTCAAACAACGGCCTGGCAATGTGGGAGGGCGCTAATCAGGGCCCTGAACCCTGAATCCTAAACCCTAAACCCTAAACTCTAAACCCTAAACCCTAAACCCTAAACCCTAAACCCTACTTCGGGCGCCTGCGGTTGGAATGAGGTACTTGGAGGTTCATGGCACTGATTCACCAACTATCACTGTACTTATAACGCACTTATAAGCCCCTGAAGTGCCCTAACATGGTTCTAAGTACAGTTATAAGTGCAGTTATAATTGGTGCAGAAGTACCATGAACCTCCAAGAATATAGATAGCAGAGGTATCCCGCGTATGAGGGACTCTATAGATCAGGTATGTATGATAGAGGTATCTTGGGTAAGGGTCTAGGGCTTTAGGGCTTCAGGGCTGAGGGCCTACCTAAACCCTGAACCCTAACCCTAATCCCGAAGTCCCGAGACCCTCAAACCCTGACAAGAGCCCTTAAAGCCCCTTATACACCCCTCAAACAACAACCTACAGGCCTGTTAGGGCTTAGGGTTTAGGGTTTAGGGTTTGGGGTTTGGGGTTTAGGGTTTAGGGTTTGGGGTTTGGGGTTTGGGGTTTGGGGTTTGGGGTTTAGTGCCCTGAGGCGCCATTCCAGAGCGAGCGCCGCTCCTCGCTAAAGGGGCCGACGCTGTTCCATGAGCGCGAAAAGCGTGCAGTGTCAGAACGTCAGGGCGTGTTGAGAGCGCAGAATCCCCATGAACCTCTGCAGGCAGGGTTTAGGGTTTAGGGTTTAGGGTTTAGGGTTTAGGGTTTAGGGTTTCGGGTCTAGGGTTTAGGGTTTAGAGTCCGGGGTCCAGACCCATTCATAGACCAACAAACCCTGGACCACTTCGCCACTGAACCTCCGGACCTCTAAGCCGTCAAACCCCATGCCTTCAAAGCCTATGCCCTGGGGGTTCGAGGTTTTGAGAATGTTGGGGTTTGGGGCGTAGGGCTGCCCTGGCCAACTGAAAGGCTTTTTAGGCCCTGGAAAACTTCTTTTGGGGCCTATCAGGGCTGGGAGTTTTTTGCTTGTGGGCTTCACCCTAAACCCTAAACCCTACATTTCAGGCTGCTCCATCCCTTACAGCTCTACACCCAACATCACCCCCCCAAGTCGATGACATGTCTGCGCGCGTGCACGCAGTTCTCAATTCCAGGCCTTCCAGCAACCGTAGTGCTGTTCTACATAAAGCAAAAGGTCCAAGTACCTATATATGGGGAGGGGGGGTTTGTCTCATGCGAGCGTCCACTGTGGGACTCGTGTGTATACATATACATGTATATATATATATATATGTGACGAATCATGCCAATTTATCCAGTTTGGGTTCAGGGCTTGCGCTACAAAGTATATATATACATGATATATATATATATATATATATACATACATACATACATTACATACATACATACATATTCATTCATGCTTTTAAACTTTTTAATTTGTAGACCCTAGTTTTTGCTCGAAGCCCAAAACCCTGAACCCGGTCTTTTTCTTGATAGGTACTTGGACCAGTAGGCCGCATGGCCCAGGGCGCCCTAAGATGCTGCCTCCGAAATGGTCCTCCTTCCAGAATCCCAACGATGCGAAGTGCGCTACCGCAGTGCCCCGGCTGTGTTTTTGGGGGGTTCATGGATTCATGAACCGTGGCAACTTAGCAAGCAAACTTTTGGTAAGGTTGTAAACGCCTGCAGCAATTTTCGAGAGTTTCAGAGGATGACCTGATAATATATAAGTTACAACCATCTTGCTTTTCTAAGCTCCCTGAGCCTGAAGCCTTTAACCCTAAACCCGACATTCCGAAGCTCAGCCCATAGGCCCATTTCTGGTGGGTAGTTTCCCCTCATCCCCTTGTAAAACACTTAGTGCCCTGGTATGCGCTTCGTGCCGTTGTTTTTAAGAAGCTACTTGACTTTTAGACCCTAAGTGGCTCGCTAGGGTTTAGGGTGTAGGGAGCCCTAAGTAGTTTACAAAGCCTAGTTTACAAAGCCAAGCCGTGGCTAAGAGAACCCCCGAACTCTGAGCCGCGATTATCTAGGACTGGGGGGGAGAAGGCGGGGTGGGGAGCTGTTGAGGTTCACTGATAAGCCCTTAAGCTGAGAAGAAAGACACCCTGTCAATTCTCTAGGTTGCTCTTGGGTGGAGGCAAAGAGGCTTATGTAAGCCCAATATCGTCTGTGTAAGAGGCTGATGTGAACCGTAGCCCTAAACCCTAAACCCTGGACCCTGAACCCCGAAACCTAAACCCACTTGTGGCTACCCTTTAACCTGCGGGATCGAGGGCGTAGTGTTCAGAGTCCCTCCATCCACAAGAGTCCATGAAGGCCTTGAAGACCAGAAGACCACAAAGCCCTGACCGTCAATGAGCTTTCTTGTGGGATGCGCAGGCGGAGGAACAACCCCAAACCCCTAAACCCATTCAAGCCCGAAAGCCTAAACCCTAAACCCAGGAAAGCCAACCTCACTCGAAACCCTCGACCGTAAAACCCTCAGCCCCAAAAGGTTTAGGGTTGGCGTTGGAGGTTTGAGGAGTTTGAGGGGTTTAGGGGGCTTTGACTGAGGGATTTCAGGCTTGAGGGTTTTGAGAGGTGAGATGGTTTCAGGGTTTTAGGGGTTGAGGGTTTAGGGTTTGGGGGTTTTAGAGGTTTAGGGTTTGAGGGTTTAGGATTTACGTTTTTTAGGGTTTGAGGGGTTGTAGGGGTGTTACGGTTTGAGGGTTTTTGGGTTTGAGGGCTTAAGGGGTTTGCGGGTTTGGGGCTTGTGACTTGTGCGTTTTTCGCAGTTAAGGGTGTTCCGGCTTCGGGATGTATGCAGGTGTGTAGACTTTCATGGTTGGGAGTAGTGCGTGTTTGGTGTTTAGGGCGTACCCTGAACCCTAAACCCTAAACCCTAAACCCCAAACCCCAAACCCTAAACCCTAAACCCTAAACCCTAAACCCTAAACCCTAGCAGAACCCCAAAGCTCCAAACCCTAAGCTAAGGTTTGGCTGCTGATCCTGACATCCTTCCTGGCCTACGTGTCCCGCCTTTCTTCAAGTTCCCGTTTCAAGGTTTAGCGACTCAGGGGTATGGTTTAAGGTTTAGGGTTTAGGGTTTAGGGTTTAGGGTTTAGGGCCTGGAGCCTTCGTGGTTTCAGGATCTTGCGCCCCCGCTTTTGTGCTTCAGAGAGCCTAGGGTGTAGGGCAGCGGAATTCCCCCTAACTCTCATGGGTTTCCCTACTGCCCCCCTAGGGTTTAGGGTTTAGGGTTTAGGATTTTGGGGTTTATCATGGGTTCCCCTGCCCCCCCCACCCCCCCCCCCGAGGTTCCCCCCCGTAGTTAAGGCTATTTAGGGGTTCAGGGGGGGAACCTAGGGGGGTAGTATAGAGGGGAGTAGTAGGGGAACCCATGGAACTCGGAGCCTTCCCCTCAAGGTTTGCCTGACCACCTGGACATTCGTCAGAGACTTCGAGGCGTGCGGCTTGTCTTGGACGCGCCTTCCAAACCCACGGCCAAATTACGGTTTCGGGTCTAGGAGTTTCCTAATGTGCCTTATAGAATGCCTTAACGGGGTCGAAAAAGTGGGATCTAAGGGACCAAATTCCCTCATTCCCTGCGCAGAGTAGGGTTTCTGATCATGCAGCTCATGAAGCAACGCCAGACCCTAAACCTTAAATACTATAGTCGCCTTAATCATTAGAATAGGGTTTTGGTGGTTATTATAGTATATTTATATAGGAACCATAAGGGAATACTCTGAGTAATTATTCCGACCCCTATATTACCCACCTCCAAAAGAAACGCCGAGCCTGAAACAGGAGCCCGATCGCGAGAGTTGGTACAACGAGCGAATCCAGACACCCCGCTGCAGTCCCAAGAGGCCTTTGGGTTTAGGGTTTAGAGTTCAGGATTTAGAGTTTAGGGTTTAGGGTTTAGGGTTTAGGGTTTAGGGTTTATTGTAGGTTTAGAGCTAAGGCTTTAGGGTTGCGGCTTAGGGTTGTAGGAGTTCAGGGCTTGGGGGTTATGAGGGATCAACTTCCTCGAAAGTACGCCATATAAATAAGCCCCTGATCACACAGCTACAGCGCCGCAAAGAAGTCGGAGGACTCTAAGGCTTTAGGGTTTTTAGGGCTTCAGGCTCTTTCTTTGTTGGTTTTGGGCTGTAGGTTCTTTTGGGTTCAGGGCATAAGTACTGAGGACGCCCATCCTGTCTTTGGACATCTGTGAGCTCAACGTTCTTCGAAAGACGCTGCCGCTTGGCGGTTCTCGACAGGGGGGCGGATGGAGGGCATTTAGGGTCCTACCCTACCCCTGAACCCTAGTTCCTAATCCCTAAATCCTAAATCCAAAACCCTAAACTCTAAATCCTAAACCCTAAATCCTGAACCCTAAAGCCTAAACCCGCTGATGCTCGGAGACTCCAGCATGCTTGATTCTCCAGCAGCACGGACAACATGATTTCCTCTGGTGCAATCAGCCTGGAAATCCTTTCTTCATCGATCCCCAACTAACCCCGCAGGCCCTACGTGGACTCTAGACCCCCAAACCAGATCCTATGTACATGGTTTGGTTTTAGCGTTTACAGTACACTCCAAAACATTGGAACATCCTTGTTCCCATACCCCAAAAGATACCCTAAAGGGGATCCCAGCCATAATCATCCTTAAACCAGGGGTTCTACTGCCCAAAGGAAGATCTCAACCCCGGAGCCCTGCAATCAGACAGCCACCTGGGGTTTGTCTTATAAGCCCGTACCTCGAGGCTTCAACCCTAAACCCTAAACCCTAAACCCTAAACCAGCAAAAACGATCAGCAGGGTGGAGGGTTTAGGGCTCCACAACCTGAAGACCTAATATGAAAAGCCTTAAGCCCGAAAACCTAAGCCCTAACCTGGGGTATAGGGTTTAGGGTTTAGGGTTAGGGTTTAGGGTTTAGGGTTTAGTGTTTTATAGGGCATGGCATATACTTGCCTGAGCCATGTACCGTACACCCCTAAACCTTCATCCCAAACCACCCAAAAGGGCCAGAGCCTACTTGGAGAATGGGTGGACTTAGTATATAGGTAGTTGGTCCTTGCGCTTTGCTTTGCCTGCTCGTTTCCTCTGGTTTCTTCTTTCTTGTTCTTGTGTGTCTTTCCTCGCGGGGGGGGGGGGGGGGGGGGGGGGGGGGGGGGGGGGGGGTGGGGGGGGGCTGGGGAGGGGGGGTTGGGGGGGGGGTTGGGGGGGGGGTGGGGTGGGGTGGGGGGTGGGGGGTGGGGGGTGGGGGTGGGGGGTGGGGGTGGGGGGTGGGGGTGGGGGTCCGTTCCTGCGGCGACCATGCCCGAAAGCACTGGTATTTGCAGTTTTCTTGCCTCTTTGCGCAGCAGAATGCGAACATAATGTAAAAGGCTGTTTGACGTTTCTGGAGCAAGACGTGCTGTCACAAGCGTTCATGTCTTTTGTGAACATGGCCGAAACACGGGTATTTACAGCGTTCTTGCCTCTTTGCACAACTGAATGCAGAAGGATGCTTGGCATTGCTGGAACAAGACGTCGCAAGCGTTCATTCATGTCTTTTTGACCATGCCCCAAACCTCCTATATTAAATATACCTTGTAAAATATCATACATGAAGTTGACGTGTTTGTTTACCCCCATACACAAGCAGCAGTGAAGGCCCAACTTTATCAATTCAA